CCCACTTCATCTCAGGGGGTACACAGAGTAGACATTCTAAGGGGGTAGGGGTCAGAAGGGTATACCTCCTGACCGACCCGCATCCTATCAAGAATAAGATGTACCCTATTCATGCTAGCAGCCACACTCCTTAACACCAACATTGGGTACACCCATTCACAGGTGTGGAAAAGGACGAATTGGGCCCGGCACTCATACTCATCACGCGGCACGCGTTCGGGTACCATCTCAATCCGAAAAAATGCCGAAATGTTTATCGATGCCCCCCGTGTCCCCCACTAGCGGGTGGGGACGCGCCCGTCTCCAACGTGTTCCGGTCGACGTTACTCAGAAAATCAGTAGACTTCGTGCCCACCGACTATCTAGACGAGTCGAGCAAGCAGAGATGTTGGCTTATTGTGGATGTCCAACCTGAGTTGGGTACCCTTACGGCGCATTTCCGACAATCACAACAATGCCAGTGTTTGTTGACCACGTCATTTTTTACACGTGGTGAGTGTAAACGTTTTGTTTCACACCTTGTCGAGTGCAAATGTCCCGCTGTATCACCAACGACAACTCTGAAGAATAGATCATGTGAACATACGCACACCAAAAGCGTTGTGGCCTAGCCCCTGGTTTAGGCCCGCTTCACAGTACAATCCAGCATGCACGCGAAACAGGAGCCACAGGCAGAGGAGGACAAGGATGCTCGAAAATTTCAGCTCCTACGAAGCACTCTCGCTGCACCATGCATCGCTGCGTCGGGGACCGACACGCACACCACGGGCCCAACAAGGCGAAACAACACCAGACCATCTCAAACTGAATCTACAATTGTACACAACGGGCGTGTGCCCTGAAACACGTCATTGGATCACCACCATGTGCATCACCCACCCTAAACACGGGTTGAAATCCGCAAACACACGAAAGTGGTGGCACTAGCAAGGGTTTGGCGGTCGGTGGTCAACCCGTCAACAAACATACTACATTCCAATACCTCGCAGATGCACCTTGCACGTCCACCAAAGCACTACGTCCCACGCGACAAATTACAAAACGCCTGCCCGGCCGAACTTTCATTCGGATACCTTTCTGACTTTCGCCCACCTCCAACTCTTCAGGCACAATCCCAACGTGAACAATACTCTACCATGTTTTCCCCCATTCTGCAATTTTCAAGCGGTCGACCCCAGCACCGTAGCAAGCATGACAATGTCCACCCTCCCCAGGCAGTCGAATACGCGCATGACGGGCTTCCGGCAAAAGCACCTGCCGCACCTCTACAGGGCGGCTTCACAGCCATCAAAGCTATCTTTTGGGTGTTCCGTGACACTTGCTAAAAGCGTCCTCAGGGTTTTTCTGTTGAACCCCTGGTTTTGACGCTCGTTGATCACCCTCAGCGCGAAAGTCAAGTTGGAAAATGTCATGGTATTGAGCGATCGAAGGTACAACGCCTTCTTCGAATGGTCCTGTTCGTGCGGGTTCAGCTTGATCCCGGCAAGCTCATCACACGTCGTGAAACCACTGTACTGCCGCTGGCACTCCTTGCTGTGGTTCGTCTCGTGAGGTCCGCCTGGGCCCACAAACATCCTCGACTGCCACATCTTACATTTCNAAATGTCATGGTATTGAGCGATCGAAGGTACAACGCCTTCTTCGAATGGTCCTGTTCGTGCGGGTTCAGGTTGATCCCGGCAAGCTCATCACACGTCGTGAAACCACTGTACTGCCGCTGGCACTCCTTGCTGTGGTTCTTCTCGTGAGGTCCGTCTGGGCCCACAAACATCCCCGACTGCCACATCTTATATTTGGCGTGCTCGGACGACTTGTCGTCGAAGGTGGTGTCATGCCAGACGCAATCGTACCCGGCCACCTTGAAGTTCTTCGCGCTCTCATGAGGGGGGACGTCTACCGCCAGAGAAATCTGAAGGGCTATGATAGAGTGCACACCGTCTCCACACCCGATGCCGCAGCGAATGGCACTCTCTGGAAGTTGCACGACCACGGCAAGAGCGTCAAGCGTTAGCGAATGGATGGATACAGAGGTGCTCATGATTCATGCTGTGAAGGTTATCAACTGTAAACTGAACCACGCAACCCAACACTCCATGACCCATGTCATGTAAGCCTGGGGATGCCCGACATCGATCGCCCTTCAACGAAACGGGCAATACGAGGCCTCCAGAAAACTATCATGAGACACACCTGCGATCTTGCGCTCTTTCTCGCCAATCGGCTGTACTCCGTCGACGATGAACTTTGTCTTTGCCTGCAGCAATCCGCACGCGAGGAAAAGGAGTGGCTGTTGGACAACGCCT